TCAGGTTACCAAGATATTTGGAGCGACTTGAGAAGGAGTTTCCAAGATTGTTGAGCACATGAGGCTTTTTTGCATTATCATCAGGTGTCAGCTGCATTGCTTTTTGCCATACAGCAATGGCCAGGTCCACATCTGCAAGGTTATCAAAATGCCTAAAGCGCCTTGAGAAGAAAATTCCAAGGTCATTCAGCATCTCAGGATCATTTGATGTCAGCTGCACTGCTCCAGCAATGGCTTGATCAAGATATGTAAGATTCCTAGTATGTTGAAATTGCCTATGTAAGGCATCTGCAAGCATGCCCCAATATGCCCATTTGTGTTCATGATCATCAGGAACTAGCTGCAATGCAATTCTTCCTATCATTATCACCTTTTTTAGTTCATCCAGCAGATGTGATTTGTCATAACATTTCAAAAGTTCTTGAGAAAGGAGTCCCAGGACCAGTGTGAAAGAATTTGAAATGTTGCCTTGAATTTGTGATAAATGTGCATCAATACCAGTGGGCAATATAGATGCATTGAGGCTTGTGTCATGTAATCTGTATTTTGATGAATAATTTGACCATTGCATCTTAGAAACTTCACACATACTGCAGTGCTTCTTCATTCTCCATGCTGTCATTCAGCACAAGTTTGATGATGTTGTGCAACAGGTTCCTTGGTTACACAGCTTAAGCAGGGTTGTCACAGCATTTTCAGTGCTATTATAACATACCCAGCATGTGTATCCTTCACTGCAAGATACTCTTTCAATAGCATTACACAAGTTTCAGGTTTGAATTTTGCTCTGCTCAAGATTATCAATGATGGACATTATAACATTGCAAGTTTAGTGATACCTACATGAGTTGAGCTTCTTCTGTCAACAGAAGACCACTCCAGCTCACGGCAGTTGACAAACTTGAGTTTGAAGGTCTTGACAGATAGATGATGAATATGTAAGATATAACACAAAGGAAAGCTCACTGTGCTGGCATATTCAGAATCTGAGGGTCTGAAGGAGATGGGGTTGGCTGTGAACCCTCCATAGGTTGTATGATTGAGATTCTGTGGTATCATAGATTCATTGAATTACTGAAATAAATTGAATGGAGGAAATATGTATCTTACTCAGGTACAGTCAAGTCAGAATGCTCTGAGGTGGGCACAGTCAGAGGACTGGATAGCTCAGAGTCGATGTTTCTCGGAGTTGTATCCATAGTTCGAGCTCTCAGTGATCACAGAGTGTTGCAGAAGTGTAGCTTTGACGAAGTGTCCGAATGCAGGGGATGCGAGAGGATAGGGATGAGAGGAAAGGGAAAGGGGGTGTGAGGTTTGCGAGGCTAAGTATATGTGGGTGGCCTATGCACAGCTCGCAAAGCGCATGTTTGATGGGCAGGATCATATGTACTAGTAAATTGTATTAGACCGCTGAGCGCTGAAAGCGCTGAACGAGGACGCGGACGCTCGTCAAGATGCTCGCACTCTTTCCCTTCCAATCTGTGCAACATGGCGGTTTGTGTCTCATCTCGCGCACTGTTACGTGCGAGGATGGGACTTACGTTCGCACTTGTAGAAGGTGAATATCACCTGCGCAGAATTGAACGACGCACTCAGTGGCGCGCATTCTGTTCCTCGAGTTCCTCGAGCGAGGCAGTGGTCGGCGCCCAAGGAAGCATGGAAGTGCACGCACAGTTATCCTGTACTCATATCGCCCGAAGTATAGTTTCCTTCTGTCGTGAACGTGTTTACCACGCATTTGAGACACTGCCATTCTGCTTCTATTCAGCACCTCTTCGTGATATGGATGGCCGCTCGCGTCCTAGTCAAGGAAGATAATCGTCTGGACACTTGGCCATATACACCAACTAGTGCACTCGTACCGCCGCAGATTCTCGACCCATGCCGGCGGTTGCCCGCATTCAATGCTACATTCATCAAGCAGCGCCGCGCGCTGCCATTATCCTGCCCTGTCTTCAGCATGCTCGTCCCGACGTTCTCCGCTTCTCCCTCTTGTGTCACTATCTCTAAGGCTTTTCACACCTGCGGCGCCCTTCTACAT